ATCGAGCGATCCAGTGCCCGTGCCACCGCCAATGAGACCTTTGAGTGAGCATGACAACTCCAAGCTGACATAAGGACCGACATTCTGCTAGTTTAATTAATTGTAATAGGTTACAGAGCATTTACAACTTTATCAAGTTTGACAGTAAAAATGGCATGGTTTCAATTTTACTAAACTTAAGAAGTTCCGTTCAAGTAAAGATCCACTGGAACATTATTTATTTTTGTGTAGGTATATTACCCTGTGGAGCAGGACCAGCGTGTCTCCAAGCATCCTTATCTTCAATATAATACTCAGTTTGTAATATGCTTTTTTACACAAAGTTTTCTTTACACATCATTTAAAATTTCTTTCATTTAATTGTTTTGTTTCGCCTCGATTTCGGATTTTGTTATAACATTTACACATAATCCCATAAACAACTTGTGTACCTTTGCCAATCTAAATAATGGCTGACACAATCTATCTCTATGTCTTGTTTGATAATTATGTCTGTCTGACACCTTATCAAATAATTTTAAGTGTTTCCTAACATAAAAAAATATGTAAACTGACCGGGCTCAAACTTAAACTTTTCTCTAAGAGATTCGCGAAGCCCTAGGTTGTAAATTGCTCTGATTGCACGCTTTTGCAAGACAAAGATAGACTCAATGCCAGCAGCCTGTCCCCACAATAAGATGCCATACGACATAATCCTATGAAAGTAGCTGAAGTACACCTGTCTTGCAGTGTCCACATCTGTTAGCAGTCTGATCTTCCACAACAAATGCAGCAGAGTTCAACCGTCCTGCACGAGATGTGATATGGGGCCTCCATTGTCATTTCTCACAATGGAGTCCCATATCACATCTCTATCTCTATGAGTTTACCTTGCCTTTATCCCATAGGAGGGACCATACATAAAATACCTTGTTTATATATTTATTACGCTGTTCTTACAATAGAACCAGTTCACTTGGGGCTGGTTTTCCAATAGTCAGATAAATATTAACCGAGGAATAAAATTTTTGCTGTCACTGTCTTATACAAACATTCCGAAGCGACAGCATCATAATTATTATTCCGCAGATAACTTTTATCTTACCATTGAACAACCCCTAAATAGAACCAATTTATATCTGATTGTGAAATGGACAATGTAACCATGGAATTGCTTGCTACACTTCTGAACGAGCTTGGTTAAGTCAGTCATTTTTATCTTTAATCATTGAAAACATACACACTGACGAAATATTGGTAATTTTGTTAGTATTATTAGTTATTCTAGAATAATAATGTTGAAAATACACATTTATCTACAAAAGTAAATATGGTTTCATTAATTATTAAGATTAAGGACGATAGGAGAGATATTTTACCAATCACTTAAGACTGATTAGTGACGTTTTAATATCAGCCACTGATCTTAATACCACAATGCAAATAACTCGAAATTTTCGTAGGCACATAGGCATTTATATCTCGATGTATATATTTCAAGAGGAACACTGACAGTTCCTTTTAGTTTGTGCCAGTTGCGCCTGAAGTGATCAAGGGTGCTCAAGGCCTGTGTTCATCGTCAGTTTTATAAATTTGTGTTTCGGAACTCGCCATTCCCTTGTCAGAGGAAAATCCTCAAATGACTTCTCCCGCGCAGGGTAAGGCGAGAGAGAGTGTTAGAATCTTACTGACTAAAAACCCCCCGTTCGCTCTCCTGCTCGGGGCCGAGGCCGCGGTGACTCATTGCGCTTAACCCGCAACCTCGGTTGAACATCAGCCCTATAGGGTCCAATCTGTGGAAGTCTATGGGGTCTTTGAGGCATCCCCACTGCAATCTGGATTTAGGACAGGTCATAGCACTGTTACCACAATTCTTGTGACTGGGGATGTTAGGGATGTAGCTGAAGGACATCAAGGTAACAGTAACAGTTCTGGTACTGATTAACTTCTCCAACGCTTTCAATACGGTCAGCCACAATATTCTGTTAGCATCCTGTCCCACCTTTCGGTCTCTGATGGTACACTGGAGTGGTTCACTTGTCTTATGTTCGTAATCTTCAGTAGATGGTACGGATCGATGATATGTCATTGAGTTGGGCAAGTCTGCAATATGGCGTTCCACAAGGCGGCATACTTTCTCCTCTTCTATCTTCTATTTTTGTTAACATCATAACTTCAGTGTGCGTATCATCTGTATGCTGATTACCTGCAAGTGTACTGTCATGGGGCGGTAGCTGAGCTGGACGGGTGTATCGCTAAAATTAATCGGGATTTGGCTGCTATCGAGAGCTGGTTCAACGCAGTAAATCCCACAAGTGCCATGTAATTGTTATCAGTAGTAGCCGAAATATCACCAAAATTGCCATAAAAACTCTACCATCAGTCACTTACGGCGGTACGCCTGTCCAGTTCAATGACAGTGTGAGTCAAAAGGTTACAGGGTCATTGTGGTCTCTGTATCGTCTCAAGAACTTATTGCCTCTATTTATATCATGGTAAATTATATGTATGTATGCTTAGATGTACGTATTTATTATATTAAGTGTATTGGAGTATATATTTAATGTAATAAAGCATAATAATAATGAAACTACGAAATTATTTTTACAAATAGGCCATTAAACGGCACTTTTACATGTCAAATTATATGTATATAAAGAGATAAAATGCCGAATAAAACTCGGAGATCAGTTTCTTTTCAAATCCAATAAAATAATATATTTATGCACATCACACATACAGTAAATAGGTACTGCATATATGTACCTGTATAGAATCAAGACACTGTGTGACAAAATAAAACAACAGGAGAAAGACAAATAGACAATAACAAACAAAACAATACATTAACCTTAGACTAAAAGTAGAGCTACACATATAAAATAAAAACCTATAAGTATAGTAAAATAATACATACTTATACATAAATAATACAGTATGTGAGAGACCGTGCAGTCTCATTCTGTAGTGGTGTTTTGAGGAAAAAACGACACCAGTTTCAGTGGACCCCTTCTGAAGACTGGCACGCAAGTATCAGTTTGTAACCAGTGTAGCTAACGGGTGCAGCTGAGTTGTCCGACGAACAATACCGATCAAAAGAACATTTGGGTAGCGCAAATGTCTCAAACTCAACTCAAACTGTCAAAACGCAGATAGCAAAGTCGCACACGGTCAAACAATAACAATAAAAAAAACTGAATGTCACAATATATACCTATTTATATAATGACAAATTGTATATAAAAAACTAGTACAAAAATGTCAACATGACTTGTGCAGACGTATCAGCGGCTCATTTCCAAGCCTGACTTCTAAGTAGTCTTTTTTATAAAGTGCTTTACAGTAAAGTTTCCTTTAATTACAGTTTTAAAGTTTTTGCGGCTATGAGGTATTTTGAATATCGCTAGGAATTTTATCATTGACATCTAAACGAACTTTTAAAATTTATTGAAGCCAGAGGGCCTAACATGACGTGTTAAAGCGTGAATCTTCCGGGCGAGAAAGAGGGATGGAGCTATAAAAGGTATATAGCTCCAATATCAGAAACAGGAATGGTCCTGTTTCTGCTGGAGGCAGGCAGGTAGGCAATATTTATAATATACATTATATTAACACTTCTTAAATAAATTTCAAGTGTGGGAGAGCAATGCTTCGTCACGAATGGGTCGGCTCGACCGGAGTGATACCACGGCCTCACAGAAAACCGGCGTGAAACAACCACAGCGTTGTGTTTCGCCGTGTGAGTGGGGTTACCGGAGGACCAATCCTTCCCCTCCCCCGATCCTTTCCCAATCCCTAAATCTCCAAATCCCTAATCCCTAAAAGGTCGGCAACGCACTCGTAACTCCTCCGTTGCGGGTGTCTATGGGCGGCGCTGATTGCTTACTATCAGGTAATCCGTCTGCTCGTTTGCCGACTTATTACATAAAAAAAAGGTTTTTGTTTTTGAGAGTGAATTACATTTTCGTAAATCTGTTCAGAGGGAATTATCATTATTTTAATTTTTCTGAAATAATTCTCTGAGCGAATGCCTCAGACTAAGATTATAGATTGATCGAATAGCCCTATTGTACTAAAGGTAGACTGAATGTCAGCAGCATTCCCCCACAACAGAATACCATGTGACATGATGCTATGGAAATAACTAAAATAAACCGCGCTGTATCTACATCTGTTGAATTTCTATTTTTTTAACGGCATTCGCTGCAGATCTGAGCTTCTTCGACAACCCACCTACATGTGGGCCACACTGGAGCTTAGCGTCTAGGGTTATACCTAAAAAGACAATATTTGTATCTACAGGACTCAACTCCAGACCCTGGTAAAGCACGCTGGTGTTTACCTGTTTAACATTTGGCGTTCTAAATTTAATTTTGTTTAATTACCTATGAGTTATTAACACAAAACCAGTGAACTTTTTCTAAGAGAGCATCGTACATTGTGAATAACTGTTTGTCGCCATCTGAGTTTGAATAAAAGTGAAGTATCGTCAGCAAACAGCACTCATGTTTATCCCTTACAAGGTAAGGCAAGTCATTTATTTTATTTAAGAACCGGCAGAAACCACTCCGTTTACTTTAAATCTCTGAAACCTGTTCCTCAGGTATGAGGTAAAAAGGGCCAAAGAGGCACCCCTTATTCCGTATTATATGTATACTTTATATGTATGTAACTTTGAATTGATTTACCTACACCCAAGAAAAGTGTGGACATGTCTCCTGCATTACCCAAAAGGATGACTGGCAGAAAATGCTTCTAGCATTAAGTTCTCCGATATGCAATTGTATATAAAGAACAAATAAATAGGTGACTGAATTCGATTGGGGTTTGATTTAATTATTTTTATTTAATACTTTTAACACTTTATCTTTTTGAATACGAAGGCGAACTTAATGCCCATAGGCATTCTTTACCAGTCAGCCGCAAGGGCGGTGCAGAGGAATCCTCCTCTTCTAACAATTACTTGTGTTGATTTAAGTATTTATTCATGATGTTGTATTTACAAAAGTAAAAAGACTGTTGTTTAACACACTTATTTATTTAGTTGTCAAGTAAAATTTAGCATGAAGGAACCTTTAACCTTGCGCGAATGGAGGGACGAAGTTGGTCTGGAACCAGTAGATACCGGATTGTCTGAAAAAAAAGAAATGTGTTGTCAGTAATTTGTTGTTACGGTACTTATTCGTGATGGTCTTAACCGAGTCATATTAAAATCTTCTTACCCAGTCTTATCTTCGATACCACCGAAGACTACTCCCTTTTCCCCAGAGCATGTCTGAGCAACAGCTTCCTCGTAGCTGTCACAAGCTGTAGCAACAAATTGGCTACCACCCTCAGAAGTTAGGGACTCAGCATAGAAGGCGTAACCCAAAATGTGGGAGCAAGAGGCATCGGCACCGCAACTGGTTTGGTAGGTACCACCGTTGGGGTAAAAGTCAAGGTGTCCCAAGGGGTGGTCGTAGCCGAGGACACCAGCAGTAGCGTGAAGGACCTCCACTTTGGAGGCTTTGTCGGCGCTAAGAATGTTAGGGTTGTGAGTCCAGCCGAAGAAGGATGGGTCAATAGCTGTAAACAGAAAACTGGAGATTAATTCCTGTATTACTGAAAATGTGGTTCAATTAAAAATGAATCAAGTGATTTAATTCGTAAAGGCATTATGTAGTTATATTCATATTTAAAGTAATTCTAAGACTGCAGGTAAAATGCAGAACAAAGGTTCCATTAACGGGATGGAAAGTATATTATTTTTATATGTAGGTAGTACTAAACCAAGAACATACATCAGAATATCTACTTACCAACAATATGAGCGATGGTACCAGCAATAACGCGTTCAGCGGCAATACCGGCGATGTGTCCACCAAGACCAACACCCACAATGCGGTAGTTTTCAGGACCGTAATTGGCGATATTGGTGATCAGGTTGATGAAGGACGCGATGCGCTCACCGCACTGCACGGCGTTAGCGAGACCCTGTGTGTACATGCCTGAGCCTGCACTCCAGTCGACAGCAATCAAGTTGACGTCTTGAGCGGTCAAGTGTGCTGACAAAAAAAACAAGTTGTTTTGAATACTCCTACAAATTTAAATTACATATGATATGAAATACATTTGTTAATACGTACGTAATATTAAGCAACCATTGTGTATGTGTAGATATTATGATGGTTGGTACAAAACACTTTCTCTGATTAAATAAACAAAATAATTACCAGGAACAACAAAGGCATTAAAGTTTCCAGAAACGTTTTCGCCGCTGTTATGGATAGTTATTACAGTGGGACGGAAGGGAGAGAACGAGGACTGCATGATGGAGTTTGCAGTGGGTAGCAGTGGCTCGCTCACCGAGGGGCTCCCTCTAAACAAAAACAAAAATATATAATAACTGTTTTTAAACATACCACATGTAATATTTTATTACTTTTATTTTAAACAAAACAAACACTGGCATTTTCTCCTGTGTCGCGGGCGCGGTTACAAACATAAATTCCCATACACATGACATCCAGACTTAGAACAACAATTTTTGGATCACACAAAGTGTGGTTTCGTCCGGGAATTGCCGCCCAGCCACCTCACCAACCGTGTAGTCAATATTAGAGAGGGTAGTACATGTATAATATACATTATATTAGGTATTTTTTGTTATTTTGTTAGCAATTAGCATTTTATTGATAAATGGGATAAACATGCCATGATTATAAGTCTTCATTTTTTATTTCAATTAAACCATTTCAACAAACTGGAAATTCAAACAAAGTAACCAAAAATTATAAATAAAAAAAGGTTACATAAACCAGCGACCAATGACTATTTTCACCATTGGCGTATCGAAGGGTTCCATATTAGGTCCCATAATCCTTAATATTTTCACTTTTCCACAAGTGATGTGATAAATTGTGTAAAAAATCTCTTTTACTTAAACATATTTTGTGAACTGACAGATAAAGTTAATGCTGCGTTGGTAGCATATTATGATCGGTTTAGAACAAATAGGGAAGTTATAAGTAAATATTAAAAGACTGATATCATGTTTTGAGACCACGGTTGATAATAAAGATGCCATTAATTTCAAACCATATTTTGTATAGACTGCTGTCAAGATTTTATTGTACACTAACTCTTCAAATCTTACTTTTAAGCATTTATTTTACAGAAAAAACTTGTATTGTTGTATTCGATAGGGGAATTTGATTAGCAATTGATAGTCCACATTTTTTTATATGAATTTATGACGCTGTTATAATAATCTTTTATGTCGTAACTGCTAGTTTATTTCGAAATTTTAATTAGTTATCTATTCGTAAAGAATAAATAAAAAACAAAAATCTTTTAATTATTTTTATACAAACCTGTGGAATAGGTGGAACACCACATCCATGTCACCCAAGCCATATCCGGATGCTGAAACATATAAAAAATACATTATTATATTAACCTATAGGCTAGGTAGCGGGCTCCTGGACAAACGCCTTGAAAACGGACTACCGGGGGCCCATAAAATGTGCTGATGGTGAAATTTTTAACGACGGACGAATTTATTATTTTTTAAATTTGAGGGTCAATGCTGAAGGAATATAAAAGTTTTAGTTCCATGCCTGATCTTTTTCTGAATTTGGAACCATGGAATCTTGAGAATATGTACACACATATGTTATCGATTACTAGTAAGAGATATTCAAAGATTGACATTTTGATCCAAAATTTTAAGAATATCCCCGTTTTTTAGAGAGATAGAAGATAATGTAACAAACCGGTCCTTATATATAAATATGAGCTTTTTTTTAGTGGGAACAATCTCAAATTACTTCTCTCGACCTGGGCGGAGCCAGAGGGAGTGTCAGACTCTTAATGACTATAAACTTCCCCGTGCTTTCCCTCTCTCTCACACACACACACACAACATCAGCCTTTTGAGCCTCATGTCTGGTGGTCTGCTCCGGTAAGTACGCTCCGGTTTAGATCTGGTCGGGCAGCGAGCAGCCTTGCTAGCCGTATCGGTATCGAGGAAATCTGAGTTAAACTTGGCATCGATTTGGCATAATTTAAAGAGAGCAAAGTGCATAACTAAAATCAAAGGTCATAACAATAAAATATGAAATAAAATAGGTAGGTACTACAACGAGGCGAAATTTGATCCGCGGTAGCTTATCAGAGGATAACTTTAATTGATAGTAGAAAATATGGGAGTGGATTCCTCTATAAAGATAATAAAGTGTATTGTAATAAGCTAAGTGCTTTGATAAGATTGTACGTAATTTATTTTTACTGTAAACGTGTACAACAATGTAACTGCAATAAATTTTGTATGTGGATGATTGTCGGAATTACTTTAATAGGAAAAGGGAGGCTGATTTTGTTATTTATCTTGTTTTACCAAACTCGCCAGCTGTGCTGTCTGTTCAGAATCGTTTTCAAAAAAAAAACTATATTTATTCTTATTTGAGATATTTTTAATTACAAAAAATTGCACTTGAAGTGTATGTAAAAAGTTATATATTGTCTAAAATTACGAATAGTTATTTTTATATTTAATTGTACCATTATATTCATAAATGCATCCCGCAAAAAATAATAACACAGGTTTTATATTATATTAAGGCAATAACTTCGAGTTTTCTCACGAAATTAAAATGTCTGTACTTTTTGCGATTAACAACTCGATATAAGATTGTAGACAGAATACAAAAAAAAAAACATATAGGTACAGTCACTACAGCAAGTATATGATTGAACCTTGCAAGAAACGTATTTGAATTTAATATTAAGGGGTACCTTTAAGCGTCTACCTTAAGATAGTATTACTGGAAATATACCTTATATAGCTACGTTTATTTTGGATTAAATGATTATAAGATTAGTTATAATACGGAAAAAAACAAGTATTGTTATGACTCGCGTAAGTAGGTGACATTCACAATATTTCATTTATAGAATTTTCTCGACTTATATTTTGGAGTCTAAAATCAGCCAAGTGTTAATCGGACTCGCCAAACAGATAGACAGACAGACATGGTCTATCTACTTTGGCCATTTTTGACATTTGAAGGGCCAACAGTTGGACTTTTTTCTGTGTTGTGGGTGCTAGAGGCACCAATTAAAACAAAAACATACGAATTACACTCGCGACCGCCAGATAAACAATGCCATGCAAAAACCGATCCCAACAAGGAATCCCGTGGATGGTCTTTTTTTTTAATTACACTTTTACCACATTAAGATTTCCGGGAATGAACGACTTACTCAAGTGAGTTAATTAAGAAAAAAACAAGTCACAATGGGACTCTTATTAATGAACAGCGTGCGCGTCGTGACGACTTTGCATAGCCGACATTGAGTAAATTTCGTGTCTCACGATACATACAACACACACACTTAGATGTAAGGCAAATCGGATTTGCATATAAAGTTGTATTATATGTTTTGACCAAAAGAAACTGATAATTAATAATTATGTTTGTTTATAGGATTTATCGCTTTTACAGAGAAGTAGGCCCACCATATCAGATTTAATTGTTTATTCACCTACCTTTAATTTGAAACATAATTATCTTACATAGTAATTATCAACTGTTAAAATCGAAATTTCAAAAAGAGAACGCTAAATTGTGATTAGATATTTTATACCTCATGATGGTTGCTTTTTTGACAATATCTTATTCAATGTTTGATTAATGGATTGATATTACATTTAAGTAGTATTGTAATGATTAATATAAAAAAATTAATTTAATATTTTTATAGAGATTTTCTTGTCTAATATTAGGTCTGATCTGATCCTGGCTGACTGATCCCATTGCATTGATATGGAAGCAGTTACATGCTTTTGTAGAGAACTAGCGACCCGCTGTTACAAAATTTCTTTATTATTTAATGGGTGTTATTATATACGTGTAAAACTTCCTCTTCAACCACACTATGTATTCAAAAAAACCACATCAAAATCCGTTGCGTAGTTTTAAAGATTTAAGCGTACAGAGGATATAGGGACAGTAAAAGCGACTTTATTTTATGCAACGTAGTGATATATTTACAGCTACTACATATTGACACGTAGGCAGTCACTTTCACTCGGAACATAGAGTTATTTGAAGGAAGGAATGTTCTTCGATTTAGTGATAAGGGTATTAAAGGTAGAAATTGGTAGTAGTTTGAAGCCAAATTGAAATAATTTATATCAATAATATCATTATAAGGTATTAAGACAAATATTTGATCGAAGAAAAAAGTGAGTCTGACCGTAGTTTCCCTAGTGAGGCTATTTGCTCGTTCCAAAGTTTACTTTTCTATAGGAAAGAACGAGCATGGAATTCCATGATTAAACTTTTAAGCACTTTTACAATAAAATTATTTACTACATTGTTAAGTGGGTTCCATTCAGAAAGAACAGGCAACAAAAAAAAATTAGACCCAAGGAAAATATATTTTGACAATTAACATTCGCAAACTACAACTGTTTGTTTTTGCTTCCTATCTACAGATACAGGTAATAAGTAGATATGTAGGTACAAAAGCAACGTAATCTCAATCAATCAAGTTGTGGTCTTGTCACACAGTTGCTATTATCTTGTTAATCCTCTTAACTATTTCCTAATTAAATACAAATAATTGTAAGCCTCGGTTTCTATATCGAGGATTTTGTACTACACATTAAAGCTGTCCAGTTAGAGTAAGGAAGTTAAAAGAAATACAAGTTTAGTTTCCTACCTGCTACAGCAGCGCACAGGACGATTAGACACTTCACGAGCGCGGCCATTTTGCCCAAACTAATTCAGTAAAAGTAACCAACGGATATATATTTATAGCATTTATCATAGATTACATTACTGGTAATCCCGCCAGAGATAATTATTAGACTTGTACAATAAAACTGAAAACCTATTGATAAGAAATTATACCGTCCAGATTGTTAGTCGTTCATCGCTAAATGTATCACGGAACGGTTTCATACAAAGCTATCTGATTTTATCAGATAATTGAATGCATGTTATTTATAAAAGCCAAAATTTTAATTTGAGATTTTCATTATAAATAACCGATATTCGGTTTGTTTTCCTTGATGCTTACAGGATGTGATCAAATGTGTTTGAATTGCTGCCTAAGGTTTGATCAGTAACCTTTCCGCCTTGAGCAAGCGTGGTGATTAAAGCTGAAAACTTCTCTGCTGCTTCTGCTGCTGCTGATGATGATAATTTCAACGTAGCAACATTTTTAGGGAGCTTCATAAAGCCATTAAGCAATGTAGTTTGGAAAATATTCCACCCTAGTATTTACATGACTGGCTGGATTTCGAATAGATACTCCTTCTACTTGAAATATCCGCAATCTAAGAGACTAATTAGGAAAAACCCTCTCTTACTGAAGCTCATGGCAGATAAGGATATTTTCGCTAATTATGACTTTATCGATTGTTTTCATGCTATTTAACGATAACCATCGAAATCGTATTATGTTGGTCTTATGACGTCACAATTAGATTAGGGTTACATCCATCCGTAGGAAGTACCGGGTAGAATGTAGGCATCGTAGATACAATTTATTAATTCGGTTCTTTTAGGATTCGTAGGCCTATATCGGATACAATAAACTAATATATTGTCATTTTGGAACAGTAACTATCGTGAGACATACTGCATTTATTGAAAAGTTGCTGCCCGCCCCTGCCTCTTACAGGTCTCATCGTTTCGCTTACGATGAAAGGGTCCCTAGAACCCAGATCTGCCTCTACTTTTCTAAAAAACTTCGCTTCGGACCATAACAAAAAAATAATTGGTAAAATTAGTCCAGGCATTATTGAGTTATGCGCTTACCAACGCATTTTGCGATTCATTTTTATATTTACAGATAACGACTTACTCCCGTGATTACCTGAGAAAAGTCCTAAAAGTTTCAAGTCACAATTCATAGCAGTCTATTCTGTAAGACTTCATTCTAAAACTTTGAATTTGAATCCGCTATGACTAGTAGTACACTAGCGCTACACTTGCGAGTTGAACTAAATTGACCGCAACATTTTGATAGATAAAGTATGAGATGACGTTAAAAGGGACATTCTATGATGTAATTTCCCATTTGTGAACTGAGCGTCGAAGTGACGCGTTAATTTTATAGAATCGACGTGTAGGACTCCTATTCATTAGCAGCGTGTGGGATGCGGCGACGACGTCGCACAAACTACTGTTAAGTTGGCTGCGCGACGGTTAATTCACGTGAATATTCTATGCATTTTTATTTATAAGTACATATAATAACGAGGAGATAGTACGTGTCGTTTATCGCGCAGTGTTTGGTAGACGAACCATCCTTGTAGACAAACCCTTTTTTTGCTCGGTTCTGGTTGTAAGTCGGGTGGCGAGCTACCCTTACTCGCCGTCCGCAGACCGCGCTTATGGTACCCGGAGACCATCTCTCGTTGTAGACAACACCTCACAGCCAAAATTTTGGCTTGTATGAAGACTGACGATTGTTCATTCGGCACTCTGACCAGATAGGACCTGAACAATTATACCTAGTCTAGCCATAAATACTGTAACAAATAAAAAAATAATACATTTATTACTTTTACAGTATGTAAGTTTAATACATAAATATAAAACAATTTAAAACATAAAAAGCTTATTCGAAGTGGTCTCCATTGGCTGCAATATAGTCCTTTAAACGTTGAGGCCAGTTATCAATAGAAGCACGCACTCTTTCCATGGGAAAATTCTTCACTGCCAATCGTATGGATTGTTTTAGGGAGTCCAAATTATTATGACGTTTAGAGCAAGCCCTACTCTCTAAAACTGACCATAAATCATAATCCAGCGAATTAAGATCGGGACTAGACGACGGCCAGTCTTCAGCTCTGATGAAGTCGGAAACGTTCGTTTCCAACCAAGACTTCGTGGACCGAGCTTTATGACCCGGCGCCGAGTCTTGCTGGAAGGACCATTGTTGGTTATTGAACATGGTGTTGTTAAGGGGCTTAACTACCTTCTCAAGAATGGTATTTTGATGCACTTGTGCCGATGTCTTGATACCTTTTTCGCAAAAGTATGGCTCAGTCACTTCTTCATAGCTAACACCCCACCAAACCATCACTGAAGTCGGATAATGCCTGAATGATAATGCTTTGAGCATAAATACGGTCACTTTGTTTGTTAAAATGTTGCTCAATTGTAAAAATTTTCTCATCCGTAAACAACATTTTTCTGTGACCTCCCTTTGCGTACCGCTTCAGTACCTAGTTGTTTAGATTTTATAACCCTATTCTTTTTTAAATTATCATTTAAAAAATGTCCAGTGCGTCTCTTATAGGCTGCAAGTTCTAAGTCGTCTTTTAAAATACGTGACATGGTTCTAGGTGCTATCTTCATCTCCCGAGATAAAATCTTTTGCTTTCGGACAGGATTTCTTCGAATTCTTTCCCTTACTGCTTTGACCACATTTTTCGTACGAACACTACGTGGACGGCCAGATCTTTTTCTGTCACAAATAGAGGAGGTCTCATTGTACCTATTAATAGCCCGGTACACAAACATTTGACTAATGCCAAGTGTGTGGAGAGTTTTAAAAATTGCATTTGGCTCCATACCCACTTTGTGTAGGTAATGCAATCACAGCGATTCGGTTCTCTTTATCACCCCACTCTATTTTAATATCGCAAAATATTAAACAATTTATTGGCGTCAAAATAAGAAAACACAATGAAAAATTATATAAAAACGACAGATTCAAAATTCAAATGTAATAGTTTGTTTATTTTTAATTGTAACAGTATTTATGGCCAGACTTTGTATGCTTAAATAGTTTATCATGTAGAGGTTATCAAAAATCGAACTGCTCTTGTATATAAATGTCTATTGTAGCATGGGTTGACAAAGGAGCTGATTGATATCGTGGTGGTAAAAGCTATCGGCGCCGCAATACAAAGAGCTACAACTGCGTTGCCGGTCGTTTCTGGGTTGCCAGTTATAAACTTGAGGATAATGAAGAAGGGTGGAGTATTGCGTGCGTTCCTATAGCCAGGTTTGCGGATGCAATTGAAAAAATGTTGCTACAGCTAAAAAAGGAATGGGGTGGTTTTAGTCAGTAAGAACTTGCTATGCCCTCTCGCTCGCTCTCGCAGGAGATGTCATTTAGTGATGTGGAAGAAGTTATTTGATGACATGAAAAAAACTAAAGTTATTCTGATACGTGTTCATAAAATCAAAATATGTATAGTTTACTCAACAGGTAATTTTCTATAGTAGCGCCACGCCTCATATGTTTTTCCAAAATTTCGTCTAACACTATTAGTATGCGTAACCCACTTTATCAGTTCCGACTTATTTTGACATTGAATAATTTTAAGTACCTAATTAGTAGTTAAAAGATTACTTGATTTATCATGAAATGGGTCGACAATCTCGTCAATCTTGATACTATTGATAAGTTCACTAATCAGTATATATTTATACAGTTTAATTTCTGTTTTTAAGTTAAATGAGGTACAGAACGCTATTTAGCGTCTTCATTATTTGATTTACTGCATGATTTTATAATTGCTTCATGAGAAAAATCAACACCTCAAACAGAAAATACGTTACATTTAATAATATTCACAGCAATACTCCCTTACACCTTTACAGGCCTAAAGGGCTAATAGACCACCTCAGACGAGGCCCAATAGAACTGATTTTCAGCTGGGATTGCGGTGCAAGCGCAGTATCGTACTGCAGCCTCGGCCTGGAGCAGGAGAAAGAACATGGGATTTTTTAGTCAGTAAGAGTCTGACACTCCCTCTTGCTCTCCCTCCTTACCCTGGGCAAGAGAAAACATTTGATGATTTTTCCCTCACAAAAAACGCCTTTATATGCTCGAAGAAGTAGTGTGCAGGTAGTCTCACATAGCACTCAATTAGTGATCTGCTGGGTTAATTTTCCACCAAGGTCATGTACCTATTACTTTTATAACAAATAATATACTTGTTATTTAAATTTACATATCTATAATTACGCATTAAAACAATTAAGTTTATGAATGAGTTTATATTTTATGTTTTAAAAACAGTTCTAGAACAATTTTACTGTCGTTTATTGTAAATGATTTATATGGTAATAATAGGTACATCGTGATATGAAGACGTTCTGAAACATTCACCAACAATACAACATTACAATCAATATGTACCAAAAACAACACTTCACTAAAAATATTAAAGAATAACTTCTTAAAAGTTTAATTTACACAAACAAAATACATAGTAATATCTAATAGCCAAAGAGAAAATAATCGTAATCTAGTTTAAATATTCACTAATTCATTGTCAAACGTAAGCAATTGATTGGATAATACTAATATTTAGATAATAATTGTTACATTAATACCATATAATAATAATATATAATCTAAAAGAATAATTCTTTAGATAATAGGACAGGTGCTTATCTTACCTGCTCTGACCTAAGACTTGTTATCGAGCAATTAATTAAAACATTTGTGTAGTAACCATGAACAAATTAACAGCTTTAATTTGTTTATCCATCCTTGGTCTAGGATTTGGTGAGTTTTCTATTCATGTATTAATCCTTCCATAAATTAAAACATTGATCTTATGCGATCTAGCTATATACAAGCTTATTAATTATCCTTTAGTTCTATGTATACATTTTAAAGGTAAGGGTAGGTTTGATTTTCTACTTAATACCCAATATCCTTATTGCTTTACCATAAGTGCATATAAAGGTGGTAACAATTTGTGTGAGATCAATTTTGGCCCTGTAGTATGGCAAAGCAAAATCGGTTACAGGATCAGGAGGTCAAGACAGGAGGTCATCATCTTCCATATTAAAATTTAACGATATTACGTCACGTTATTACTTACTCTTAAATACATTATTTACCGTAATACTCATAGTCATAATTAACCCCCTTCTTAGTAATGGTTTTCGGAATAAAATCGTAAGGAATACTAACTTTAAGAAAACGTTATATTATTTCCCAACCATAATTTAACATCACCCCAGTCGGATATGTTTATTTCATTTTTATTATTGTAACATATTGTAGACTTTGTTTCTAAGTAGGTAATGTTACAATTCCCATGTCATGTTAGGTGTTGGTATATTGTAATACTAAGAGAAAGCAAATCGCAGTACAACGAGATAAGAATAAAAAACCCAGGTCTTGTAGCTGATCAATGAAAGAGGTCGTTAAATATTTTAATTTTATAAAAACATATTCATTTTTCAGGCCTCCCAAGTCCTATACCACAAAGTCTTGACTTGGAACACCTCGAGAAATATGCGCCCCGCGTCAACACGGGGGCCAGATACGACCCGACCCTTACAAATGTGTACCATTTGTTCACAAGGTTAGTCATGATTAAATTATAATGAAACAGAAATGTAACGAGTCCAAAATATATGTATATTTTGACCTTTGACTGTACGGTTGGCGTGGTAGCTGGGCAACTGGCTGCCACGCAACGTGAAGCAAGTTCTATTCACGGAACAACCTTTTGTGTGATCTACAAATTGTAGTTCCGGGTCTCGGTGTAATGTTTAGGTGAAACTGTATTTTTGTTAACGCACCCACGACAGAGAAAATGCTAGAGCGAAGCAACGTTTTTTTTTAAATATAATTTTCTATAATAGATCTGTTAACCGCTTTTAGTTTTAACAACTAAATTGATTTATTAAAAAAATAAAGAATACTTAGAGAATATAAAATATTTTAAATCTTTGCGTGACGTTCAGGTCTGGGATTCTTCCTAAATCAAATATCCAAATACAATAATCAGAAAGTAAATTGATTACTTAATATTCCAATAGTTATTATTCTTCTTTAATTTACAGGGACAATCCGGTAGTTAGCCAGCCATTGATTTTGAACAATCCCTCACTTCTTCAGACTACTAACTACAGGAATGACAGACGGACCATTGTTCTCATTCACGGATGGCTGGAATCAGTAACCGCTAACTTCAATAGTGTGCTTATTCCAGGTGTGTATAATTGTATATAATGTAATATCTAGCTGTTGTCCTGAAAATTCATCGTCATCATCATTAGCCTATAAGTACCTACAACTGACAACGGCCTGTTCTCACACGGAGAAGGCTTGAGCATTAATCACTACGCTTGCGCAAGGCGGATTGGCGATTTCAAACTCATAATTAGAAATTATAAGTCCAGGCTTCCTCACGATGTTTACCTTCACTGTTCACCGTTGACGTGTAAAAGTGCCGTTTTATGGCCTATTTCCAAAAATAAAATCATTGTTTCATGGTTTCAACTCTTTCTTTATTCAAGTTTTAACCTTTCTAAGAATTATATCTCATGTATACGTACGTATGTATATCACCTACAATAGAAATTTTTGTCTATTTTCTAGTGTTCCTTGCCGCTGAAGATGTCAACATCATCGTAGTAGATTGGAGTGTCGGAGCTAGTTCCATTGACTACAGGACCGTTATTAGAAACACAATTGCTTCTGGTGAAGCTGTGGGAGCTTTCATCAACTGGGTGAACAGAGAGTCAGGCGCCACTCCTACCATGTACCACATTGTTGGACACGGCTTCGGTGGACACCAGGCTGGTATTGTTGGCAGAAATGTCGATGGTGACGTCGCTTATATTACTGGTAAGATTTTGAATAAATCTGCTATTATGAAATTTAGTTATAATTACCGCTACACATAAAAACATGTCACATTCATTTCAGCTCTGGACCCTGCGTTCGTTGGCTGGGTCAGCCACCCAGACCGCTTCGATGCCAACGACGGACAATACACTGAAGTTGTCCACACAAACTACGGCATCAACGGCTATCTGGCGGACCTTGGCCACGTCGACTTTTACCCTAACGGTGGTATATCTATGCCAGGATGTGACTCCCACGCTTGCGATCACGCACGAAGCTACTTTTATTTTGCCGAATCCATCACCTCGGGTGGATTTACTGGAAGACAATGCGTGAACTACTTCGCTGCTATTTTGAGCTCATGTGATTTGCTGCCAGGCAGATTACAGATGGGAGGACTCAGACCTAAGATTGGGTGAGTGTTTTGATAACTTGATCTATTATAATTTCGATCATTTAAAATGTTTTTCCGTAAACGGCGCTCGCATCTCAAAAAAGTCCCAATGTGGTTGTGTTTTTCCGAGTTACATGCAATTTCTATAATTATTTCGACACCATTGATATACGGTGAAGGAAAACATCAAGGCTAAACTTGACTTATCAGTTTCAAATCGCCAATCCGCCTTGAGCAATCATGTTGGGGTTTATTAATGCTCAAAACTTCTACGTGAGACTTGTCACAGGCATTTGTTCTGCAGTGGACACTTATATGGAAATGTCTATCCGTCATCTATGAAAATTTGCAAAATGAAATTATAGAATTTATATTTTCTTTTCAGGAGAACTGGTGTGTACTTGTTGGAAACAAACGCCTCCCCTCCATTCTCCCAGGGTTGATGAAAACAACAAACTACCGTCAACATTATTTTATTACTAAGTACTAGTCAGTTGCATCACAAAGTTTAAAGCAATAAATAGGATACTGATTCATAATAAGCTTGAGAACAGGAGTTTTAACCTAAAATAAATGCATTTCGTATCTAAATGCTCGCGAGTATATTATCACAATAAGTTGGGATGTTTCAAATTCTTGGGGCCTCTTCTTTGCGAAGACTCTGTTGGATTTTCTGGAGGAGGAGCACTGCTGGATTCAGTGGAGCTGGCTGGCTTCACTGAAGTACTGTTACTGCTAGGTGTCTCTAAAAGACTGCTCAGTAGTGCAATACTTTGCTGTGCAGTTTGATAAACTCCGGCGAAAAACTTATTCGGATCAAATTCAACGTCTTCGCTATCTTCAGTATTGTCATCTGTACTAGCTTCTACAGCTTCTGCTTCTACGGCTCTGGAAATAAATGACAAAATCGAATAAATAACTTCATTAAATGCTTCTTAATAATATTTTCTCTTTCATTCAATTTAATTATTTGTAGCATATGCCTGTGATGCGTCAACGTTTGTTTTTTTGTGCAATGGGATTATCGTGTTTAATCTCTGATATAGATTAATTGAATTAATATCAGTTTGTTTATCAAAATGGAGGCTCAAGGCCACCATTTTTTGAATACCATATAATTTAAGCACGCCTAAATTCTAGAAAATATGATAAAACTTATAATCTTTTGATTAATTAATAAGGTTGTAGAGCTGTCATGACTGTCGTATGGTTTTGTTTATTTCTACCTATTATCAAAATGGACAGGCAAACAAGCATACAATTACATATTATAACATTCAGAATATTCTATTTAAAATATTATTTAATATAATATGTTACAAAATCAACGCTTACATTGATTTTTAGGCGGTGAAATCACCCAATGTCTTAGCTATAGCTGGGTGGGGCAAAATGAAGTGTCAGTAATAAAAACGAACCCATTGTTTTTCTTACTCTAACCCCCGTTTTTGTCAGGAGAAAATCATCAAATGATATCTTCCACCCGAGATAAGGCGATAAACAGCACTTTAGGCCGAGGCGGCGGTACCCCATTGCGCTTACCCCTGGCTGCCAATACAATATACTTACGTTTCTTTAGGTGGATCTGACATTTCCATTAAACTTTCGTTAGCTTTGAAGCAACCAAGTGGAATCTTTCGTTGTGACACGAATATGGTTCCAGGCTCTAAGTTTACGCAGCCCTGCAGACCGTCCGCGGTAACCGCCATCTTGTTGAATGTGGCGCACATTTGGAAGAACACGCCTAGCACAAGGCAGAGTGGTTCAGGATTTGACGCTGTAACGTAAAATTATAAAGAGATAAATAAACTGCATTTTAATTATTTAACATCAAAAAATTGATTGGGTAGTCTAAGGTCTTACAATTAAAACAATCAAGACGAAATAAATATTTAGAGTTGACTAAACAAAAAAGCACACAGCATATGAAAACAATAAGAAGATAATCTTTTTGGAACTGTCTCGTCGGACTAGGGGTCATAAGTGCGACTGCTAAGCAAGGTCGGGCAAAATTTTTTTTCTTCAGTTTTTTCGGAAGTATCTCAGTAGTACGGAGTCTGGAATTTGTGCCCGATAAATGGATATAGAATCATCACCTATACCAGTCCCTGTAATAGGTAGGTGATGAGTCCATACCCGTGAAGTGATGTGTGATGTAAAATATTTTTTTTTGGCAATAGTAACGTATGTCATTGTTCGTTACAATTGCACACAATTGTGGCAAACTGCTGCAGCATACTTGTCACATATGTACAATAGTATTGACAAGAAGACCGATATTGCAGAAAATAGGCACGATAAGAAGAATTATGTCCACGTCGTATTGGTCCGGAGTTTAAGGCGCTCGCTTCTCATGAGTGAGGGTGCGTTTTCGAAATCTGGCAAGTAGATCCCAATGTGACTTTATCAGAGTTATATGGACTGACCATAATTTACGGTGAAGGAAACCATCGTGAGGAAACCTTAAACTTATAATTTCTTATTATAAGTTCGAAATCGCCAATAAGACTTGAGCAAGCTTAGTAATGCTGAGCTGATGATGTGATGTGATGTAATGAGGAATGAAGGGGAATTAATAAAGAAGGAGGGAGAAAAGGTAAGACAGAAGGCAACTGGACGTATATTTTATGTTTTTATGAAGTTATTTTGCAACTAAATCGAACAAACTTAGGATGAATAATTAACATGATCCTAGTTATACAAGTTAATTCAAATCGTTCATGTATTATATACTTAATTAATAAGGTCTCACGGTATGAAATTCAGTTTCCGAAGTACTTAGTACTTAAATGAAAGCTGAAAGGAAGTGCAAGCCGCGAGAGTAATAAGCATTGCATTCGACTTTCTCGCGATTTAATCCGAGAAACTTCTAGATGCAAATATAGGTGATTACAACCGCTTAGTTGGCGGAACAACTTTCTTTAGAAACGCGGGTAAGCGCCCTTATTGAAAGTTTAATTCGAATGAACGAATACTTACTCGTAAATGTGGTTTACTTTTAAATTGGCAAATTATTTAAAGTGGACTCCTTTCTCAAAGTAATGAAACAAACAAATGAAATAGATAGTAAAAATAGACTGCAAAGAGGTTTGTATGCATATACAATAAGTATTTAGTTTTGAAAAAAAAATCATAGGTAGGTTTACTTACGTTGGATTTTTTCGTAGTCAACTTTCTTCCCATGTGAGATCTGCACGAAGAATCCTTCATCTTTAGATAGATATCTCATGTGAATGCATTCTGGAAATTGCAAACATAATTAAAAAAATTAAAAATATTATTTAATAGAACAATACTTATAATAAGTTATTGGGCAGCATATTTTTAGCTGTGGACGTCTGGTGCCTGATATACGTACCTAGATGTATAACAATATTACCTTAAAATTGTGTCAAAATACATATAACCACTTTGCTCTGTTATAAATAAATGTTATACATATTTTCAACCAACCGTTTCAGTTTGCATATCGAACCTTCTCCTTGTGGGAAGAGGCCTTTGCTCAGCACTGGGCACATAAAGGCTGCTGATGTGATATCATAGATTTATACATATGATATTATACATACAATATTGTTTTTATTTATATACCAACATACAAGTGAAAGTAATAAAGAGTTTCTTGCTCGTTTTTCTCTATTTTAGTCTACATTTTGCGACGGACACTATTATTATTACTACACTATTTAGGTATCTTTCAACTGTACCTGTGTGTTATGTTTCAGTTATAGATAAATTTCGTAAATTTTATCAGGTTTAGTAATTCTTACATTAATGTAATATCATCATTAATTAAATAAATATAAAGTTTAATTTGTAAAAGTTCTTACTGGCTCCTTCGGGGTCATAAGCAGTGATGTTCTTGTCGATGCAGCAGGCGCAAGCTGGACCTTTGCACTTCCACTTACAGGACGGCAGATCCTCGCGAAGTTCTGGCGCCGCCGGTTCTATGAGTTTTTTAGCCTCATCTAAGTTCAGGAAATCTGAAATTTAAGTAAAAAATTAATTAAATAACTTATTAAGCCTTTTGCCGGAGCTGCAGGGCAAGCGTAAAACCAAATAATATCGCGGCCTAAGCCGAGAGCAGGAGAAGGAACAGGGTGGTTTTAAATTAGTAAAAGTCTAACACTCCCTCTCGTTTCGTGCTGGGCGAGAGAAAACCATAAGATGATTTTCTTCCCTAAAAACAGGATTTCAATAGTTTTAGGTTTAGTTATTACATAATAAAAACTACAAACCAACCAATAGAAAAACAAACTTGAAATACGAAATTAAAACGTTAATTTCGACCTACTTAAGTTTAATGATAGTTTAGGTACCTACTGTATAAGCATTTCATTTTGTAACCACCCTGTATTCATATAATGATGACTAGAATAACGTTGTGCAGAATCCTAATAGGTTATTATTGTATATTTTTCCGCTTTCTAAACACACATAGAAAAGTAGGCTTCACACACGTACTGAATTGTTAAGAAGCTCATTTGATGCTTATTTAAATGAAAATAAATCCTATCTGAACTAGTTATTTAATTAAGTTGAAATTTTAAACAGCCTTTTACAAAAATTAAGATATTTTTTTTTATTTAAGTATACCAAAATTAAATGCGGCATGACACAGCCTGGTCGACGGTATTCATATAAAAAATAAAAACATATACAGTTATCTAAAAAGATTCATAGGTATTAGACAGGATTTTATATCTTCTTTAATATAAAAGAGATCAAAGGTACGAAATATCTTGGGTGAAGAAATTTCTACCCCAAGCAGCAATTGATAAAGAGTTAAAACAGAAATAAATGTTCATATAATATGTATATCTCATATAATAGTACATATAGGAACTTAAGTAATTAGTAAATTAAGTGCGTGAGAGAGCCAAACTTTGGCATAAATGGGCTGGTGCGACAGGAATGATACCACGGTTTTACAGAAAACGAAATTGATAATACTGGCTTAGCTCTACATCATTCAAGACTCGACTGGTAGAAAATTCCTAAGGCATGAAGTTTAAATGAAATAAAAGCCAGCGTGAAACATCCCTTATATTTTTATTGCCGTAGGAGTGAGATTATCGGTGGCATAATTCTACCTATGCCCAATCTTCAAATTTACAACCCCCTAAAATAACCAGCAACATACAACTTACAAAAATAACTCCTTTGGTGTCACGGACAGTGCCGATAGCTTAACACCAGTTCGTTTGCAACACAATTAATTAAAAAAGTAAGTATTTGTTTACTTAACAACTTTAAGGAAAATGAATTATCGAATTGCAGTGGGTGTCATAATAAAAGAAAAAAAACAACATCCAAATATTGTGCTTACTTTCACGCATGCGCGGTTTTAACTTTCACTTGTTTGGTGCGCTTGGGCCTTTGTTTTGTTCATAGTTACTGTGACATAAGTAACTATGTATATCTCTTTTGTTTTCTTATGTAAGACACGTCATGGTCCGTAATACAGAAACAAGGCAAAGCATTTTCAAAAAAAAAAAAATTTTTTTTCTTTTTGAATTTTCTCTTCACTTTTCTTCAGTTTAGTGAACTATGAAAGCATTACTAATGTATTATATTTCTGTTAATGCAAATGAGTGTATTTATGTTTCTATACTGAGCGAAAGTACTCTTTTCATCAACAGCTTTACAGTCAGTTATTAGAATTGACTAGGCAAAGAGACATAGGTAAAAAGTCTGCAACAGCGACCTAGATCAAGCTTTTTACTGAATGGGTAAAATAACAAATGTTTTATTAAAACCTAACAAAGCTTTAATATTAAAAAAGTCACGACCAATCTGTAAAAGTAATAATAAAAGACATCTTTTTTAATGGTATTTAGATATTATAATATATATTTAGAGGGTTACATTTTTGTACCAATTACATAATTATGTATCTACATTTTGTAATTCATGCATAGAGTAATAATTTAAACGTGTCCTTTACCTAAGTCTAGGCAATAAATGTATGTCTTTTCATAAACAAAATTAATAGGTACACATTTTCCTTAGTTGAAAATTTCCTTAGTTGAAAACTAAGGAAAAGGTGTAAAAGGCACTTAAATAAATAAAAACTGTTACAAAACTTATAAAGGTTAACCCATTAATGTTAAGTAATTCAGTGTACTTACTAAAACGGTAATTACACGTTCAAGTAACAATGTAAGTTAGTAACTGGCATTTACGATAGACTTACAGGTACAATTGCATAATAAGTAATATCCCTATGTGTTCTAACGTAGTTTTTTTCTTTATAAATGTGAGTATACTCTACAATAAGTAATATACCTCTTTAAATGTTAGTTAATGTCATGTTTAAAAATTGTACGTTAAATCTTTAATAGGTACTTTTTTTATTTTTACGATACACGCATTTGACATAAACTTTTTGATGTAGTACAATATCGATATTAACGAAGTTCCTGTTAATAATTCATTAGTAACTGAAGTTAATATTAGTAATAACATAAACACTTGTAATCGCTTTATTATTAATTTCCGTCGATACTTAATTTGGTCGAAACGTAAAAACATTATCAACTCAATAAATTCCTCGTGTTCAGCAGTTCATTACCTGACTAAATAAAAACAAATTAATGATTGGAATTTTCATTTCCACTATATCTGTTATTCATTAGGGTTGCCTACTTAATAACTTCCTGGCGTACACAACTGTCAATCGCACTTACATTAATCAATGCGAGTCAATCGTCCTGTTATAATATACGCTTTCTATTCAAGTACAAGTACTTGCAATAAAGATTATGGGTACTCACCTAAAATGTTAGCAC